CTTCCGGTTCCGGGGGGATAAAAGGGCGGGCGCGGGGCTGAGCCTGGCAGTCGCTGAGGAGGAGGCGGGGCCGTAGGGCTGAGGGAACGCGCGCAGGTGAGGGCTGAGGCGGCGGCTCCACCCAGGGTCCCCCTACGTTTCCCTGGGGCTGGGGTCCCTGCTGTCCCTTCGGGCCCCGGGAGGGAAGGAGGGAGAGTGCTTTATGTTGGGAGCTCTTTGTTCTTTCAGGTCTGTGGTAAAGGTGTATGGGGGGGGTGGTGTGTGTGTCTGTGTTGGGGGATCGCCGCTGGTCCCCTCAGGTCCCTGGGGAGGGAGTGAGAAAGGCCTGTGTTTGTCTTCTCAGGGGCTACATATATACATATTATTTTATATATATGTATATTTATGTATGTGTGTGTGCATGCATGCATGTGTTTTGGGGGAATAAATAAGTATTATGCTTCCCTGGTGTCTCCTCTCCACTCAGGCCCTGAGGGCTCTGTGGGCAAACCTTCAAGACTCCTCAATATCTCCTCTCACCTTAGATCCCTCAGCACTGCTGTTGGGGCTTCCTAGCATGTTAAATCTTTTCAGGCCTGTAGTGCATGGGGGTGGGTGTCAGTGCTCCTTGATGCTCCTGCTCTGTTCCCTCTGCGGAGGGACTCTGTGACACCTCCATGTCCCTCCTTACCTCAGGCCTGGTCAGCATGGCGGACGAGGAGATCGCTGCCCTGGTGGTGGACAATGGCTCTGGCATGTGCAAGGCAGGCTTTGCAGGGGATGATGCCCCCCGTGCTGTGTTTCCCTCTATTGTGGGGCGCCCCCGGCATCAGGGTGTCATGGTGGGCATGGGGCAGAAGGACAGCTATGTGGGGGATGAGGCCCAGAGCAAGAGGGGCATCCTCACCCTGAAGTACCCCATTGAGCATGGCATTGTCACCAACTGGGATGACATGGAGAAGATCTGGCACCACACCTTCTACAATGAGCTGCGTGTTGCCCCAGAGGAGCACCCTGTCCTGCTCACTGAGGCCCCCCTGAACCCCAAGGCCAACCGGGAGAAGATGACCCAGATCATGTTTGAGACCTTCAACACCCCAGCTATGTATGTAGCCATCCAGGCTGTGCTGTCCCTCTACGCCTCTGGCCGTACCACCGGCATTGTCATGGACTCTGGGGATGGTGTCACCCACACTGTGCCCATCTACGAAGGCTATGCGCTGCCCCACGCTATCCTGCGTCTCGACTTGGCTGGCCGCGACCTGACCGACTACCTCATGAAGATCCTTACAGAGCGGGGCTACAGCTTCACCACCACAGCCGAGAGAGAGATTGTGCGGGACATCAAGGAGAAGCTCTGCTACGTTGCTCTGGACTTTGAGCAGGAGATGGCCACAGCTGCCTCATCCTCCTCTCTGGAGAAGAGCTATGAGCTGCCCGATGGGCAGGTGATCACCATCGGGAACGAGCGTTTCCGATGCCCTGAGGCCATCTTCCAGCCCTCCTTCCTGGGCATGGAGTCCTGCGGCATCCACGAGACCACCTTCAACTCCATCATGAAGTGCGATGTGGACATCCGGAAGGACCTGTACGCCAACACCGTGCTGTCAGGGGGTACCACCATGTACCCTGGCATCGCTGACAGGATGCAGAAGGAAATCACGGCCCTGGCACCCAGCACCATGAAGATCAAGATCATTGCCCCACCGGAGCGTAAATATTCCGTCTGGATTGGCGGCTCCATCCTGGCATCTCTCTCTACCTTCCAGCAGATGTGGATCAGCAAGCAGGAGTATGATGAGTCTGGCCCCTCCATTGTCCATC